GATGCTCTTTAAGGATGCCTCAGACTTGAGGTTCCCTGCCCCAAATCTCCTCTGAGGACCTCAGTGTCCAGGCCCTGAGGATCCATTGTCACTGCCCCTTTAAGAACTGGGCATCTGGCTCATTGCTCTCTGCCTAAAACAGCCAAAAGAAACCTAAAAGCCCATAGCTTCTATCGGCTAAAATTTTTAAATGATGTGCAAGAGGCATAGGAAGGCTAGCCTTGGAGCCTGAAAGATAGGAAATAAAAGCCTGCTTCTGATACGTGCTGGCTGAGTGAACTTGGGCATGTCACTGATCTGTCACTGTTCCAGACAACGCTCTAACAAGACTCTACTAAGATACCCAGCAGGTGTCCACCTGCCTTGGTAGAGGGCATTCCATAGAGAAAGAAATCACAGGGCTGATTCTTATCCCTTAAAAACACATGTAGTTGGGAGCAGGAGGCAGAAAATCCCAAGCCAGATAGTTAAAAAAACAAAACTCAGCCCCCTCTGCAGTCCTTTTCCCCTCACTCCCCACCCCACACTTAATTTTCTTTCTCCTCAGCTATGGGGAGTCACCAAGCAGGGATACCGCTGCCGGGGTGAGTGATCGGGGGATGGAGAGGAAGGGGGACACTTTTGGGGCCCCACCTTCACTGAGCAGTCCTCCTTCCCCCTCCCCCAGACTGTGGGCTCTGCTGTCACCGCCACTGCAAGGACAGAGTGGAGGTCGAGTGCAAGAAGAAGGTGGGAGCTAGCTCTCCTGGGCTCCCTCCTCCGCAGGAAGTCCCCTCGACTGGTGAGGCCCCCTTTGAGGGCTGGTCCACTGAACCCTGGGAAGGGAACCAGGGACTCAAGAGCTGCAGGGTCGGGGGAAATTGCAAGACCCTACTTTCTCCCTTTTCAGGTTCTGAAGAGAGCTCCCCTCACCCATCACCTCCTGGGACCCAAAAGAGAACCCATCTTCGTCATGCCTGGACCCAAACTGAGTCTCCCCTGGATGGGGCTACCTCAGACAAGGCTCCTACCTCTGTGATATAGGAGACATAGCTGGTAAGAAGGCAGAGGAGACAGGGGATGGACAGAAGAGGTCGGGATAGGAGGGTGGAGATCCCACCAATGCCAAAGTCCTTGGGTGGAGTGCCTGTGCTCTCAGGGCCTTCCATGTGCCCACAGGATCACAGACTGCCAGTGTTGGAGAATTCTAATATGGAGCTGGGTGGTGCTGACTCAAAGCTGAAGCCAGTGACTTTGGAGACCCCTACTCCTTAAAGCCCCAGCACCCAAATCCCCAGCTTTGTCCTCCCTCTCCCCCATTCTCCTCCAGTCACAGGCAAAAACATGGGATGCAGATATTGTAAATTAAATCTATTTTTCCAGAGAACTTGGCTTTGGTGGGAATGGGAATTGGGGGGGGAGCTGGATGCAAACCCTGGGGTCCTTCAGCCCCCCCAACAGTGACAGAGGGCTCCAGATGGGTGCCCAATGGATGGCAGTATCCTGTTCACCGTCTCTTCTTCTTTCGTCCCCAGTGCTGGTGCCCAGCCTCTCGACGGCTCTGCCAGGTGGGCATAGGGGCCTCCAGCTCATTGGGCCGGCCCCCTCTGTCAGGAACTGGGCCCATCAGCACCTTGTTGATGGGGCAGCAGGTGGCTAGGCGGGCAGCCCGACCTGAGGCTGGGACCAGTCGAGAGAGGTCAGCCCGGGAAGCTAAGACGTGGGCAAGGGAGATTTCAGATTCGGGGGCCAACCCCTGACGTAGGGGCTTCAAGACGTTTGTCATGGCAGTACCCTGGGTCTGGGGAGAAGACAAAATGGGCTGAGAGAGCAACTCTAGTGGCCCCAAGCTTTGGCAGCAAAGCTCCTTCACTAGCTCAGTATATGCCTCACATTCTGGACCTCAGTTTACCCATATGTAAAATGCAAGGGAAAGAGCCAGATGAGCTCTAGGGTCCCTTCCAGTTCTTCCATTCTAAGAATCCAAGATTCTAAGACTGTTTCAGTCCAAGCTCCAAGTGCTCCTCTCTCTGCCCTCCTCACTACCCACCTGGGCCCGCTCCGTCCAATGGAAGGCAGATGCTGTGAGATCCAGCCTGGTCAGCATGAGGCGACGGCGGTAGCAGTACTGATCTCGTAGGCAGCTGGAGAGGGTACTCAGGGCCTCCTAGGCCAGGGAATTGTACAGTCACCCCTTAGCTTCCCAAACCCCCATGTGCCCAGATCCACTACCTTTTTCCTCCCTGGTCCTAGAAAGGGTAAGGGGGGGATGGATGGGGGACAGGAAATCTCTCATACCCATTGAGTAACATCCAGAGGCTGAGTGAGTAGGGGGTCCAGGTGTCCAGGGGGCAGTGCGGGAAGCAAATCTGAGATCTAGAAGTGGGGGGAAGAAAGGGAGGTTTGTGGGTCGGAAAGGGAAAAACTAGAGAAGAAGGATTCTGCCACGCTCTCTCTTTCACATGACATTTCCCCGGCGACTCCTCTAACGCTGCTGTTGAGGAGACAAGAAAGAAGAAAGCCGGCTGCCAGTTGTAGATTACAGAATTTGGAGTTGGTTAGAGATAGAATCTAGTTTATCCTAGCTCAGTCCTACCCCGGGAAATGAGAACTGGGGGTGGGGGGTGGGCAGAGAGGAAATGATAAAGTGGGTGTGGAATGTACGGATTGGGGTGGGCTGCCTAGAAGAGGGGGTCTGTGAAGAACTGGACAGTAAAGGAGATTGGAGGGGCAGAGAGGGGAGAGAAGAAGGAACATTAGCCACCGAAAGTTCGCCTCAAGTCTGGAAGGTTTCAGAAGGTGCCCAAGAGGCAAGGAAGCCCTTCACCTTTGCATGGACATCTCTCAGCAACTGGCTGGCTGGGGTTCCTGGCTCCGGCTGGGGCATCCCCAGAGCCTGGAGAGTCAGGGCCAGCTCCCCCTGAGCTTTCTCCTGTGCCTCAGCATGTGAGGGGTCAGGTGGGCTGCGGAGACTCAGGAGGCGAGCTGCCTGGAGCTCTGAACAGAGGAAGCCTGAGAAGGGAACAGAGAAAGAATGGCGACAGGTAGGAATGCCAGGGAAGGGGTTGCAGAGGAAAGGGATTAACTCTCTTCCCTCTGGCCCTGCCCCCGAGTTACAGCCCTAATCCCTCAATTCCAACCGGGTGCTCTCAGATCCATATCCCCTTTTGAATTCTTAGCCCACCCGGGCCTCGGCTTCTAAAGTCCCAGCCCCTGCCCCCTCTGCAAATCCCACCCGATGACTCCCTCCCCTCTCAGTCTCTCTGTCACAGGGTTCTGAGCCCTCCCCTCAGCCTCCCAGCCTCGGGACTCTAATCCCTCCCCTCTCAACGTCCCGGTCCCTCCCGGCGCCTGAACCCGCCCCCTCTCCGCGACGGCCCCGCCACTGCGTTTGAAGCCTTCCCCGCCCTCACGCAGCAGGCTCAGGCGACTGCCGGGGGTCCCGAGCCGAGCCGTGGGGTTCCCCGTCGTGAGGGCCCGGTCCGGGCAGTGCAGCTCCCGTAGCAGGCAGCTCAGCTCCAGAAGGAAGCAGTCTTCCGTTTCAGGGCCTGCGGGGGAAGGGGCCGCTGAGTGCTGGGGCCGGGCCCGCCCCGTGCTAGCCATCAGGACACGCTCTTACCACTCCAGGGGCGGCCTCCCCCTCCCGGGCCTGTCCAGCCCGGCTGGCTCCGCTCACCGTCCGCGTCTCCAGCGCTCAGGACCGCCCCTTCCTTCAAGGCCCCCAGCGCTCCGAGCTCGGCAGCCAGACGTGCGCACAGCGTTCGGAAGTGGGCGCACGACACTCCGCGGGCCACTGCCTCGGCTAGCCTGGCGCCTGCCTCCGTCTCCGCCCAGGGCTCCTTTCCCGGGGAGCCTACCTCGGACCTACCCCGAGGAGGAGGCGAAGGTGAGGCGGGGCCGGCTCCGGCACCGTGCCCACCCCGAGCGCGCCGCTGCCCAGCTCTCACCCAAGGGCCCGCACGGCCCGCGCCAACCAGGCCGCCTCCTCCAGGCTCCCCGCCGGCGGCGACTCTTCCGACGCCTCCATCCCCCAGACCGCCGGCCGGTCCAGGGCCCTCCCTCCCGGCGAAGCCACCTTTGAACGGCTGGCCCCGCCCTCAGGCCGGCTGCGGCTGCGGCTTGGGAGCCTCCCAGCTCGGGGGCGGGGCGGGCCTCGCCGGGCCGCGCCTCCTTATTGGCCCGCGAGCCGGCAGGTTCTAGGCCGAGGGGGCGTTCGTTCCCATAGCAGCCGAAACCCAGGGGAGGGAGCGTTCGTGACTGGTGGAAGAGCCCAGCACAGTCGTCGTGACCTCAGCGTGTGTGTGTGCGCGCGCGCATGTGCATGTATGTACTCTTGCCTCCCTCCCGTTAGCCGATTCCCTAGTACTCCAGAGTCCGTTCCCACTCCTACGGATCTGAATAGGCAGAAGTACAGTGGGAAAGAGCGCTGCATTTGGAGTCAGAGGCCCTGGGTTCGAATAATAGCAATAATGACTAGCATTTGCACCGAACTTTAAAAATATTCTTACAAATGATAGCTAGCATTTATATAGCGCTTTAATGCAATATATCTTATCCAACAATCCTGAGGGAGATGCTATTATAATACCCATTTTGCAGATGGGCAAACTTGCCCAAGGTCATATAACTAGTTAGTATCTGAAGCTGGCTGGCGCTGAACTCGGGTCTTCCCGAGTGCAGGCTCAGCACTCTTATTCACTGTGACATATAGCTTGTCTACTCTTATCTCCTACCTGTGTGTCCTTGGGCAGATGCTTTTCCTCTGGTCCTCAGTTTCCCTCTCTGTAAAAGGGGACCTCTGAAGCCTGTTGCAGTTCTAGATCCGTGACCCTGTCTCTCCCAGCCCTGGAATTTCCCTCAAGTGTCCTTTGGCCTCCTTGAGTCAGGGCTGGCTCCCAGTGTGACCCCCCCCCTCCACATTTTAGGCTATTCCTAGGTGTTCCTGAAGCCTGAGGAAGACCTCAGTATCTCTTGGTAGGGCTATCCTACTAAGCATAAAAAAAGCAAAGCCAGGCTGCGAATGAATTGACAACAAACATTATCTTGAATCTCCCTCTGGTTTTCTTCAGTTTCTGGGGGAGGGGGGGAGGCTGAGGTCAGGGAAGAAGATAACCATAACACCCTCCTCTTGCTCCATAGCCTTGTCCCACATAAAAGGTGACAGATCAGAGAAGAGGGGTCCAGGCTTGGCTCCCCCATTCCTGGCGCAGGGAGATAGTAATGGGGAAGGTCTCAGGTCTGGACAGAGGAGAGGATTTTGACCCACTGTCTCGGGGTCCCAAGTCTGCTTAAGCCTGGATGGGGTGGGAGGGACATGGATGACAGGTGGGTTAAGGCGGGGAACTGAGGCCTGGGGAGCTCCAGGGCAAAGAGAGGGTCCCACCTGTCCTCATAAGTAGATCCCAGAGCACCCTACAGCACACACACCCTCTTCTTTCCCCCGCCCCAACCCCCCTTAAAAACGAGGTAGGTGAAGTCTAGAAATTTTCCCCTCTCCACAGCAAGAGGAGAGCTAGGCACAGAGAAGGAGAAAGGTGGTGGGGAGAGATGGGACTCAGGGGTCCCTGTTTCCCGGGCTCTCCCTCCCTCCCCCCTCCCTCCCAATGGCCCCGAAGAGGAGTCAGATCCACAGATACTCTGGGCCAATCAGGGAAGGATAGATCATTAATTTAAAGTATGGGCAAAGGTGCTGGGATGGGGCGGGGCCAAGGTCTGAGCCCAAACTTTGGGAGGGATGGAAGGAGAGAGCGCGGCCAGAGCTTCTCCTCCGGACCCTCTCCACCCAGATGTCTGCAGCAATAAGGCCCGGCCCTGGGACAGAGAGAGCCGTGGCTGTTGGGTTGGGCAGGCCTTCCCAACCCTGACTGAGGCAGTCTCTCTCCCTTTAGTGCCTGGATCTTGGGAGGCTCTGGAACCCGGAAGAGTGGGGAGGAAGAGGGGAGGGAGAGGCTTCAGTCCCAACGTTTCAGCAGACGCCCTTCCTCTCCCTCAGCTGTTTGCGGAGGGGCCACAGTCTGGGGGTCAGAGAGAGTTCTTCAGTTCAGAGGAGTAAGGCCTTGGGGAGAGTCAGAAGGGATGTCCCCAGAGGTGGGGGAAGGAGGCGCTGGGTGGGCAGCAGCAGGCTATCACGGTCCCCATTGTCCACTGAGCTTTCTGGGAGGGAAGACCAGGGTAAGGGGTAGAACAAGATGCCTCTCGGAGGATCGAGGGAGCAAGGGGGGGACGAGCTGCTGAGGGGCGACTGTAAGGGTCAACTATGGTATCCCAGCGGCCAGCCTTGGCTGGAGGCCAGGCGGGATCCGAGCTATGGGTTCCCAGGGCTGGCCTCTGCAGCTTGCACGTCTGCGCTCTGGTGCTCCCCGCTCTGGCTGCCCGGGGCAGGGCTCTAACGGCAGAGCACCGTGGATTGTGGGCCGCCCCATCGCGGCCCGAGACCTCCCTCACCGGGCCGCCTCGTGGTGGCCCCCACAGCCGGGGCAGCCACAGCGTACCGCGGCCCAGTGGCAGGCGTGCAAGGGCGGGTAGCAGCAAAGGCAGGGCACTGCAAGGGAGAGCGCGGCCAGGGCCGCCCAGCGAGCAGCTGGGCGCGGGTGGCCTGGCTCGCAGGCGCAGGGGTCCGAGAAATCGCCTTCGGCGTCTGACAGGCAGTGGTAAAGAAGGCTCTCCGCGCACCAGAGGCAACTGAGGCGGCGCACCAGACGGCCCCCAGGGTCCGGGGCCTCTGGGCAGCGTCGTCCTCGTCCCTCCGAGCCTCGGCGGAACAGGGCCCGGCAGTGCACACAGCGCACCGCGTCTGCAGCTGACGCCTCTTCCGCGAAGCCTGCGGTTACGCGGCAAGATGGTGAGCCCTTGGCCAGGAGCTGGGCCGGAGTCGGAGTTGGGGGCGGCGGGGGTGGGGACGCCTGGGTCCTTGGCACTGTGGGGCTCACGGCCTGGCCAGGGGGCGACATGCTGCCGGCTTTGTCGAAGCGCATCAGGCAGGACACAGCCAGGGGCACAGGGGGCGGGCCAGCTCTCCGATAATCTTCGTAGCCTCGGCCCACCCAGCCTGCCATCGTTCCTGGGGCCTCCAGCCTGACCGGGAAGGGCTGAAGTTGCTGGAGTTGTGGGGGCCTCTGGCAAATGGGATGAAGAAAATAAGGAAAGAAAGTGATTAGAAGAAGAAAAGAAAGAGAATGTATTGTTCCTCCAAGTCTAGCATTTCTTCCCTTGGACACTACTCGGGAAGTCCCCATCTTTCCTCTGAGGCCCAGAGGTGGTACCAAGTGCAGCCACCCCCCTGCACCCCACCCCCCTCCGTGTCCCAGGTGCCCTTCAGGGCAGCCTTCTAGGCCCTGCTTCCCTGGAACTCAGGCTCTGTGTTCACCCCCCCCTTCTTGCCCCCCCCCAGGCAATCCCACCTGTGTGGGGGAAGGCCTGCGTTGGGAGGTCATGGCAGGGCCCAAACCAGACGACTCGCTAGTGACAATAGCTGGATCTGGGGGCCTGGCCTCTTGGCGGATGGAGCTGGAAGAAGACTGGCTGTTCCGGTGTGTCTGGAGAGGTATAAAGTAGGGATCAGGGCAGATGTCTTGGGTGCTGGCCCACCCCAGCATCCCCCTTACTCAAGTCTCTAGATAGTCCTTTTCTGCCACCTCCCTGGGCCTCTGGGTCCCACCCCTTCCAATCCCTTTCCCAAGCTCCAGATTCGCCCGTTCGTACAGCCTAGCTCTGACCATATCCTCCGGAGCTGTGGAATTCAGGCCAGACCCCCATTTTGGTCACATGCCCATTGATTTTTCTGTCCCCAGCATTCAGTTGCCTTTTGTCCTCCAGTGTCCCAGCCTCAGAATGACATGGCCCAGGGGGGTGACTTGCAGACCTGTATGCAGGGTGGTGGTTCTCACACCTCCTGAGAATCAGTCTCTCAGAACCAGACAGGACTTCAGGGACCTTAGAGGCTATGTCTAGTCCAACTGTATTGTTTTACTGAGGAGGAAGCCTAGGCCCAGATTTGTCCATTATCAGAGAGCTACTGAGTGTCAGAGGTAAGATTTGAACCCAGGACTTCTGACTGCAAGTCCACCACCTGAGCCATAATGCTGCCTCTCAACCCCCTCATTTAAAGATGAGATTTTTCACCTGAGGCCCAGAGTGTTACCACTGGCCTCAGGTCACACAAGCAGTAAGCAGAAGGGTGGGCATTGAAGCAAGGGTTTCTGACTCCAAAGCACTCTGATGCCACTTGCATTGCCTCCCTAAATCTTCTTTAAGTCTCTGCTTGGATACCTCCAGTGACAGGGAGCACATTACTACATGGCATCCCCATTCCATGGTTGAGTTGAATGACTCTGTTTTTTAGCTCCCAATATAAGGCTGCAAGTGCTCAATTCTGTAGTCTTGGACTACTAGGACGGAATAGATGTTTTTAGAGCTGGAAATCATAAGAGCTGACATTTCTAGATAACTTTGCACGTATTTATCATTCAATTCTCACGACAGCCCTGGGTGAGGGACTCTTATTATCTCCATTTTACAGATGGGGAAACTGAGGCTGGGGGCATAATGTGACTTGTCCAGGCTCTTACAACTAAGTAGTAGGTATCTGAAGCAGGATTTAAACCCAAATCCTTGGTCTGAGTCCAACCTATTGCCTCTCAAAGAATCTTTTTTTTTTTTGGCTAGGCAGTAGGGTTAAGTGACTTGCCCAGGGTCACACAGCTAGTAAGTGTTATGTGTCTGAGGGCAGATTTGAATTCAGGTCCTCCTGACTCCAAGGCTGGTGCTCTATCCCCTGTGCCACCTAGCTGCCCCCTCTCAAAGAATCTTGAAGACCATTCTTGTCAATCTCCTCTCATTTTATAGCTAAAGAAAGTGAAACCCTGAAAACCCAGAGGGAAAGAGTGAGAGGGTCACATGAATGCCAGGCTGGAGGAGGGCTGGGAGACAGCATGGTACAATAGCTAGGGAACTGTACCTGGGATCAGATACCACCTTGGGCACTTAGTAGCTGAAGGACCTTGAGTAGGTTACTTCACCATCACCCTGCATTGGTTAGGGTCATACCTTATACCAGGTGACTCAGTGCTAAGTGCTGGGGGATAAAAAGAAGGGCCGAACCTCTCTCAACTGTAGTTTCCATCTCTATGAAAGGAGGGTATGAACTCGATGGCCTCCAAAATCCCTTTCTGCTCTAAAACTACAATAATATTAGCCAGCATTTACAAATATCTCATTTGATTCTCACAACAGCTCTGTGAGGTAGATGCTATAATTATCCATATTTTACAACTGAGGAAACTGAGGCAGACACAGAGGAAGTAACTCGCCCAAGGTCACAGTGTCTGAAGACAGATTTGAAATCAGTCTTCCGGACTCCAGGCCCAGCCCTCTACCCACTGCGCCCCCTAGTGGCCGCTGCTCTTATAGCTGTTTGATGGTGGTAAAGCCAAGGCTCAAATGTGTGTCTTGTGACTCCATAATGAATTTTTTTCCTCCACTCTACAATACTTCCCCCACCTCCACCCCTCCTGCCCCACCATTTTTCCTAGTTCTGACCCAACAGAACACTGCCACAATGATGACCTTCTTGGTACACTGAACACTGGGCTGATCTCTCCCCTGATGTCTAAGTCTTTTTTTTCAGACAACATTTTCCCAAGTTACTCACCTTGTGGATGTAGAGGACATCTGGGGGCTCCTGGGAGGTGTTGGAAGAAGAGGAAGAGGGTGAGGAGTGAGAGCCTGGGAGGAGAGAAAAGAGGATGAGACTGGGGTGGGGCACAGGGAGGGTCCTAACCCTTGCCTTCAACCCCATGGTAGGATCATAGCATTTGGAGCTGGAAGGGGGCTGAGACCATTAGGTCCAACTCTTTTGTATAAAGGAGAAAAACTAGAAAAGGGAACTGTCCAGTTCAGAGCTCTCCAAGTGGATCTTAGATTGATGCAAAAACTGCTTCTTCTGGGTGATAAAACAATAAGCAGAGTAGGGAGGAGGGAACAGTCCCAGTTTGTAAATTTTAGTTGGAGAAGGAATCTTCGGGACCAATAGCACACTTGTACAGTTGGGGGGAAAGCACTCCCCCCTAAAAAGGAAAGGACAAATCAGGGATTTGGTTTATATTCAGAAGTAGCCAGGCTAGTACTCAGGTGGCTAGATTCCTGATGTGGGTGTGGGGAGGAGTTTCTTTTACTGGCCCAGGGTCCCTAGTCCCTGGTGCCCCTCCAAGCCCATACATCTGACTCCTTTCTTCCAGAACCCCTCTCTCCTCCCCCCTTCCCCCACATCTACCTTGGACCAGCTCTGATAGGGCAGTCTGCATGCTTCTCTGGAAAGCGTCAGTGTCTGCTGGGCTCTGGAAAGTCAGGCCAAACTTGTGGTCTTCCAGCTGCCAGTGGTGGAAGATGGGGTTCGCTTTGGTGTGCACTTCAGGGTCGTCTGCCATAGGAGGTGGAGGGACAGGTCCCCGGGGGGGAGGAGGAGTGGTCATGGTCCCCCACCACCTTGAGCCTGTGCTCTCCCACACTTAGGCCTTTATTCCTCTGACCAGTCCCCCACCACCATGGAAAAACCTAAGTATACCTCCACCCAGCATTTTGTATTTTGGGGGTCCAAACCTGATTTTATTGGTGTGAGGTGCTCCCAGTGAGAAAACTCCCTCTAGCAATGCAGATCAACACCTGAATTATTCCTTATAGTCTTAGGGAATTTCCAGGGTAAAATGACTTGCCCGGGATCACACAGCCATGACAGGCCAAAGGTGGAATTTGATCTCAGGCCTTCTTGACTGAGACCATCTCTCTACCCATGAGATCATACTGCTTCTAAATATTTTCTCCCCAAATGGGTCATAGGTATTTCAAATACACTCTTATGGACCACCAAAAATCTATTTCAACATCTCTGACACACCCCAATCCAACATTCTAAATCCCTATGTACCCCCCAAAGATATCCCTAAAAAGGCCCACATTACCTTGAATATACTTTGACATAATAAAACACCCCAAACATACCACATCTTCATTCCAACTTCTGGACACACTCAATTCATTGTACCATCCCAGACTCCACAAAACCATTTAGTCACCCACCCTCCATCCCCAGCCCTGTCCCATATGTCTTTGTCAAGGCACCTGCTTGGCCCCCTCTCCCAGGGAATTATGCATACTTTGGTCCCAGAAGCACTCACAACAGATAAGGTGCTGGCTCCGGTGGGCCTGGCATATACCCACCTGGCTCAGACCACCTCCCTCCCACCTCCCACCTCCCAACTGAATGGCAGCCAGCCCCCACTGGAGTCATCTTGGGCCACCACTACTGCGCGAACCAGAACCATGTACCTTTGATGAGGGGGAGAGGGACAGAGGGTTCAGAATGTGCATTTCCCCTATCCTCCCTGCCTGTCCCTGCTGGCTGCTGTCCTGTCTCTCTCCCACCTTTTGTGGCTAAACTCAAGAAGGCTGCCTACAGGATATTTCCTTTCCTCTCATTTACCTCTTAACTCTCTACAGTCTGGCTTCCAAGTTCACCATACAACCCAACTCTGCCCCATTCCCCAAAGTTAGTGATGATCTGTTAAATGCCAAATGACAAGACTCTCTTTTCTCAACCCTTATCCTTCTTAACCTCTGCAATCTTTGACCCCATTCAGCCTCCTCTTCTCAAATGAGATCTCTTCACCCTTCTCTCTCTCTCTCTTGGTTTTCAGGACACTACTCTTTCCTGGTTCTTCCCCTAACCACCTGACCACTTCTCATCCTCCATTGCTGAATCTTCATCCAGGTCAGGCCCACTAACCATCAGTGCCGCCCCTGGGCTCAGTCGTTGGGCTTTCTTCACTTGGTGATCTCATTAGCTCCAATCAATTCAATCACCTCCGTGCTGATCATTCTCAAATCTATTTATCTAGCCTTAACCTTTCTGCTGACTTCCAGGCTTGAACCTCCCAGTGCCTACTGAACATCTCAAACTGGATGTCCTAAAGACCAGGGCTTCTTGAGCTTTTTCTGCATATGATCCCTTCCGTGCTTCTTAAACTCAGCATGTCCAAAACAACTTATAGCCCTCCCCATCTCCTTCTTCCCTATTATTATTATTATTTTTTTGGGTTAGGCAATGGGGTTAAGTGACTTACCCAGGGTCACACAGCTAGTAGGTGATCCCTATTACTTTTGAGAGTGATCAGATTCACAACCTAAAGGTCACCCTTGGTTCTTCCGTGGCTTTTCCTCTATATCCAAGCTGCTAAATACCGTCAATGTTACCATCACAACATCTCTTCTATAGACCTCCTTCTTTCTTCTGATACTACCACCAGCCTGGCACAGGCCCTCATCACTTCATGCCTGAACAAAATCACCTTCTGGTTGATCTCCTTGCCATCATTTTATCTCTTCTCTAACCCCTCCTCTATTAGCTGCTAAAAGAACAGGTCTGACCATGCCACACCCCCTATTTAATAAACTCCGGGAGGTCCCAATCACCTCTGGGATCAAATATAAAATTCTCCATTTGGCTTTTAAATCTCTTTATAACTTGTCCCCCTTTCCAGTCTTCTGACACCATATTCTCCACCAAGTACCCTGTGATCCAGTGATCTCTGTTGTCTTTAAACAAGACACTCCATTTTCACTGACTGAACCCCATGCTTGGAATTCTCTACATCCTGGCTTTCCTGGCTTCCTTCAAGTCCAAGAAAAAAAAAATCCTGCCTTCTACAGGAAGCTTTTCTTTGCATTTCCTGGTCCTCCTACAGTGCTGGACACATAGTAGGCACCTAATGAATATTTAATGACTGGTTGTCCCCTATTCACCTTCCTACTGCCACTGCCATTTTCTCCATTTGCTCCTATCCCCTATTTCATCCTTTAAACCTCATCCTTCCCTACTTGTGGTCCCATCATGTTACACAAATAGCTTCCCAAGGATCAGGGACCCAAAAGACCATCTAGTTTAACCTCTTAATTTTTTATAGATGAGGAAACTAAATCTCCTTGAGAAGCAATGACTCCCTCAGGGTCATACAGCTAGTAACTGTCAAGGCTGGATTTGAACTCAGGGCTTCCTGAATCCACCATATGCAGAACCCTATCCATTCCTGCTAGGCTGTCTCTATAGAGGCTGTATCTTATTTATTTACTGTGTGGTGGAAAGCATGCTGGATTTGGAGTCTGAAGGCTTGGATTTAAGCTTCAGCCATTAGGTTGTGTGACTTCGGGCAAGTCTTTACTTCAGCTTCTCCTTAGGATACTAATGCTTTCCAGGAGACACTAATGCTTGCCAATACCATCCTACAGGGCTTTCCTAGTAGAGAGAAAAGTACTGTGTCAACCATAAAGAGTTAAAATATAAACAAAAGACGCCAATAGCAACTTAAAAATGAATTGTTCTTCCTCTACCCTCTGGGTACTCTCTAAGGACTTGCACCCAGTCAGAGCTAAATTAAAGGTGGTTGAATTATTGTCTTCCTGACCTGATATGTGCCTGGAGGCCTAGAATGTTCTTCCCCCCCCCCACCCAAATGTAAAATTGTTGACTCTATTTATGTCATCCTGCCTCATTTCCTCCCTATATCCACCACTCCTCCCCTTCCCTCATCCTGCTTTTTTTTCATGCTGCCCACAATTCCTAAAGAGACCTCATATATATTGTAGAGAACCCATCCCTCTTCATATGTGGTTGCTGACTGCATCCTTGAATCATTCAGGATACTGATGACTCCAATGATAAATTCACATTCCCTTAACTCTTCATGATGGAGAATTCCCTTGGCCAAAGTCAATAACAAAACTTCTTTGCTTAGGTAAATAACTTAAGGAGTTTCCTGAGATAGGTTCTGGCTGGGTTAGCATTTATATAGTGCATTAAGGTGTGCAAAGCACTTTACAGATATTTCATTTGGCCCTTACAACAGCCCTGTGAGGTAGGTACATTTTACAGATGGGGAAACTGAGACAGATCACGGTTAAATGTCTTGCCTATGGTCACACAGCTAGTAGGTATCTGAGGCCGAATTTGAGCTTAGGTCTTCCTGACTCCAGGTGCATAACACTATCTACTGTACCACTGAGGCCACTGGAGGTCCTTACAACTCCAAGAATGAAAATGAAATTGAAAAATGGCTCCTGTATCTTTACATAACACCATAAGGCTTATGGAGTACCTTGCTTCAGCCACCCTGAGAGGTGGGCTGTGGAAATAGTATTGTCTCCATTTTAAAGCTGAAGAAACGGTGGCTCAGAAAGGGAAAGTGAGCTAAGATCACATAGCTAGTGAGTTTTTGGGGGTCCTAGTCTAGGGCTCTTTCCCCATTGCCTCTTCTACAGTCTATCTTGGGTCCCCTACTTGTTTGAGCATATGTCATATTCCCCAACCCATGTAATCCATTTGAGGGCAGAGACTGCCATTTTACATCTCTATATCCCTCTCAAAGAGCACAGGATATTCCATGTGGACAGCTGTAGAGAAATGTTTGTGTAATCAAATTGGCTCTTTTCTCCCCAGCTGTGTATATTATGGGAGCTCAGAGCTACAATCTGCTCCCTATGTTGTCACCATTTTCATCCTTCTTTGTTCTCCTTACATCAGTTTCCATTTCCCCTCTTTTGTTCATCCCCTTCCTTCTCCTCCATCCCATCTCATGTCCATCACCCTCCTTCCCTTCTCATTATTCTGATGATTTCCAACTTTCTTTCAATCCTTATCCATTCTCCCTCCTCCTTTTAAATACCTCCCAAGTCTCCTAACCTTCTTTATCTTCCTTTCCTGGCCCTGAACCTTCTTTCTCCACCCCTTTCTGCTCTCATTCTCCCAATCCTTACTTCTAGCAAATTTGACCTTAATCCAATCACTTCATCTTCCTTCCCTGTTCCCTTCAACTAGAGAAAGAATTCAGGGGGGTATGGGGCAGCTAGGTGGTGCAGCAGACATAGCACTGGCCCTGGAGTAAGGAGGACCTGAGTTCAAATCCAACCTCAGACCAAACACTTGATACTTACTAGTTTTGTGACCCTGGGCAAGTCACTTAACCCTAATTGCCTTAAAAAAAAGAATTCAGGGGGGCAAAGGAGCCTGGAATGTAACAGGGTGGTGTAACAAGGAAGGGTGGGGAGAAATGGCTAGATTTAGAGTTAGGAAGACCTAGGTTCAAATCTGGCTCTGCTACTTCCTAGCTGTGTGGCCTCTGAGGCAAGTCACTTGACTTCTCTGGCCTTCAACTCCCTAATCAGTGAAATCAGGATAAGAATGCCTAAAATATCTATTTCCCATGGATGTAGCTCACTACAGAAGGCGTTGGAAAGAGGCTGCTAGGAGACACAACAGATAAAACTCTGGATCTAGAGTCAGGAAGATCTGAGTTCAAATTCAGCCCCAGATACTTACCAGCTGGGCAAGTTACTTCACCACTGTCTGTCTCAGTTTCCACATATGTAAAG